CGAGGACACGCTCTTAGAGACCAGCCGACGCCTGGAGCTGGCGCAGGCGCAGGCGCACGAACGCGAGCGCAGCCCGCGAGGTTCCGGCCGCAGCAGCCCCGCGCCCAATCCTGCCCCTGCCTCGCCAGGCCCGCTGCAACTGCAGCTGGTGCGTGAGCAAATGGCCGTGGCTCTGCGGCGTCTGCGCGAGCTCGAGGACCAGGCGCGTGCGCTGCCGGAGCTGCAGGAGCAGGTGCGCGTGCTGCGTGAGGAGAAAGCGAGGTTGCTGGCTGTGCGTCGGCCTGAGACCCACGTGGAGGCCGAGGCGCGCCCAGACAAGCTCTTACAGCTGCGGCGGCTCACCGAACGCCTGGCGACTTCCGAGCGCGGCGTTCGCGCCAGGGCCAGCCCCCGGGCGGACGGCCCCGACGAGGAGGCTCTGAAGCGCAGCGAGGGCGCACTCCAGGTCCTCGACGGGGCGGCAGGGACCCCCGATCGTGAGCCCCAGACGCGGGAGCCTGGAATCCAGGCCGTGCTGGGGACCCAAGATGCGGGAGCCCAGGCAGTGCCGGAGACCCGGGAGGCTAGCTTGCAGGCGGCCCCCAAGACCCTCGAGGCGGACGCGTGGGTGACAGAGGCGCTGCTGGGGCTGCCCGCGGCCGCTGAGCGCGAGCTGGAGCTGCTGCGCACCAGCCTGGAGCATCAGTACGGGGTGAGCGAGCTCCTGCGGGACCGGCTGCGAGAGTTGGAGGGGGCCCGCGAGGTTGCGGAAGAGCAGGCAGCGACCCAGTCTCAGCCGCGCGAGGCTGCCACCCAGACCCCGTGGATTTGTGTCGAGGCGGCCACGCAGACCGAGCCTCCCGTGGAGGCTCCTTCCCTGACGCAGACCCCGTCTAGATTCACAGATGGGGACAGGGCCATGGCGCCCGCGGGTGAGTCCCTACCCACCTCGCAGAGCCCGGGCTTGATGGCCACCGCACTCCGCACTCGAACTTAGTGCCCTTTTCTGATCCCTGGCAGGCATCCTCAAATCCATCATGAAGAAGAGAGACGGAGTACCTGGCGTCCAACCCAGTCCTGGACCCAAGAGCCTGCAGTTTGTTGGGGTCCCCAACGGAGAGTGAGTATTTCCCCCCTCCCCATGGCAGCATCTGAGGGAACATGGACTGGGGGTTTGATTTCCAGCTCTGCCCCTCTGGCAGCGCGATCTTGGCAAGCCTGTTTCCTCATCGGGGAAATGGGGACAGCCAATCCCACCTCAGAGGACTCCAGAACGAGCCTACAGGGGAGGCTCAGCAGTCGCCTCCCAACCTGCCCCCAGGTACGAGAGCTCATCCAGTGAGGAAGACAGTGACAGCGAGGATGGTGCTGCTGAGCCCCCGAGGAGCAGCTCCTGTGGCTCCGGGGAGGACAGCGGCCAGGGATCCGACTCCGGCACCCCCGGCTCTCCCAGCGGCGGGGTCGCCCTGGAACCTGAACCGGAGGCGGAGACGGAGCCTCAGCCGGGTGTGCAGGGGAGGTGAGCAGTACCATGGACACCGGAGTGGGGATGGTAGTTCTCTTTCCAGTTTCC